TTTAAATCAAAGAGAATGGTTTTATGCCAGAATAGAATTCAGTATAGTAGTGACTAGCCGCGAATGGTGCTCCAAAGGAACACCGACGCGTGATTAGCTGTTACTCAGTGAGATTCTCTAAAGATATACTCCAGATTGTTGTAATCCATCGAAAAAATTTCTACAGTGAAGATCTGACAGGTTCAATAGAAACCAGAACTAGCAAAAAAGACTAAGAAATGTTTTCGAATGAAATGTGAGAACAGTTGTGCTGCACGTGCACAATATATGAATGAAACATTTGGCAGAAACATCATGCAAAGAATTCAGTTCTGTCCATTCAAAGTAGATTTCCATGAAATAAGATAGCTTTTCTGTCATTATGTATCCATGTCCATGTGCACTTACTCGTCTAAATTTATTCGAGTACTTCGAAATTATCTGTCTAATCCGGTGACTATTTTGAGTGCTAGCGTCATTCGAGTGGCGTATTCTGAGAATAAGTCTGATCAAATATAATTTATTGTAATCTAGAAGTTTAGCTATACACGTGTTTTTGTAGCGGACACTAGCAAATAATATTGTCGGTTAATGTGCTGGTAACTATACAGATTTTTATTTGTTTTCAAGAAGTATGATGAGTTTTCACGCTAGTGTCCTGGGTATTCTTTTTTTTATTGTCTCTCTCTATATTAAATGCAAACCCTTTTCTCGGAGCATATGGATACTGCAGCCTTAGTGTTATTCATCTAGATTTCCGTTGGATATCATTCAATGTGTTTCTGTTTCGTTGGATCAGTTTATAAGAAAACGTATTTCAGATACACGCATGTCAATGTACACAAAGACATTGATGCGAATGTCAATATTCGCATTCACATGCACCCTTTTCAAACTTTTGATACGCGCCCTGTTGAGGACTGCGAAGCAGTACACAATACCGAACCAGCTGAATACTCAGTCGAGGGTCAAGCGAGTCACATAGACGAGCGTTACTTGTTATTATTGGCGAATTACAGATTGATTAAGGCATTAAATCAAATGATCTAGTGATTACGTACGAGTTAATTTTATTTTCTATTCTCAAAGAAATTTGCATACTTCTATAGTATAAGTCTCTAGTAGAATTTAAAATTCTCCTATAGTAGAAATCAAAATTTTAACGTCTACTAGTGCAACTTAAAATCGCCTGTTATTGCGATTTCTCCTAGTAGAAATTAAAATTTTAATCTCTACTAGTAGAATTTTAATTTCTACTCCAACATATATATATGAACGCTTTTAAGGAGAGAGAAATGAACAATAAACGTCCGCAATGAAATATTCGATATAGATATAAAAAAGCGACGTCACATTATTTGACATCATTGTTCATTTAATAATAATGGTCGCGTTTTTCGATGATTTACCTGATCTAACATTGCTCGAAATATTGTCTTATCTATCTTGTGCAGATGCTTTATGGACATTCAGTACACTTAATAGCCGTCTAACAATGTTATTACTTGAACGAGGCGTCAATCGTCATGTTAATTTGTCATCTACTCAATATTATCAATTTCAAAAACTTTTACCTTTACTTCGATTAAATGAAATAGATTCACTTATTATTGACTGTTATGCATCAGCTCTTCAACTGACAAAATGGCCCTATTTACCTCATTTAAAAAAACTACAAATAAAAGGTGTGTGCAATTACTTCGACATTTGTCATTTTGTAATGCAACATGCCAATACATTGACTCATCTTACAATTGAATCGAGCTGGTATCATCTTAGAGTAAGTGCATTCAGAAGTTATTTTAAAAGTAATTAAAAACAAACTATAAGACGATCTATGAAATATATAATATTTAGAAATATAAATCTTTGTATATAATGAGATAGCTGATTGATTTTTAGCGTATGAAACAAACGATACTAGAAACAAACTTTACGACAACATATGTGAATAAAATTCTTTCGAACGGAAGAATTATTCGAAGTTGTTGCTATCAAACTTGATTTTCGATGGAAAAGCAAGTTTAATATGTTGAAGGACAGAGTTGTATTCTTCGTAGTTATGATCAACTTAAATATGCGTAATTGCGTATCAGCAAAGATGTAACTAATCCTGACCCTGTGGGTGCAATATTCATTTTCCTTTACAGTTTAGATGCTTCTCTACTTGTAAGTTTTGGAAGAACTAATGTCAAATAATCTAGAAAGACTGAGTCTCATACGCTGGTTTTTTGAGGACGAATTTGTATAAGACATGGAAAAGGTTGAACTAGGATGTTGTATACATACTGAGTATCTTTTGTTTCATGTAGGGTGGTTTGACGAATCAAGATTATTCTGTCATATGGAGTTTGGAAACTTTTGAAGATTTCTTGTAGAAAATTCTTCGACGTTTACCTGCTCTTTGCTTGCTCAATTTCGGAACGGAATCCACTTTTTTTCTATCCGCTTGGGATCTCAAAATTATACGAACACCTTTGACATATCTTCGTATTACGTGTTCATCAATAATCACTATAATTTGTCTCATGTTAACGCAACCATTACGGCATACATTGCAGCAATTCCATGTAAAATTAAACGACAAATTCAGCGATACACATATTGATATATCTCATACAAAACTTTTACCTCGAATGGAGGTTTTACACACATTTACTTTTGTCAAGTCATTCAAATGGCATTTCATGGAAGAATGGACATTACTAGATATGTTGACTTCGACAAGAGTTATGCCTATTTTACGACGAATGACTTTTTCTATTGTTATTAATGCTGTTGATCTGAATCACATGAATCATTCAGCCATCTTCACTGACTACCGTCATGTTGATGTTCATTATGCATTTATTTTCGATGATAATCGATCACATAGTGAACTTAGCAAATTTGTACCATATAGTAGTCAATCTCATCCGCGAGAGATAGCTAGTGGAACGTTTATTTCTGAATGTTGGCCTGATAGTCAATCATTCAAAACTCCTGGTGAAAAATATGTAAGTTATAATCCTTTGTATAACTTTCATTGTTCATTTCAACAATAAACTGTTTTTTGATTGAGTATGATTGATTTCTTTTTAGGGAAAAAAACCGAAAAATCGACAACACCTCTTTTACACATTACCATGGACCTTTAATGAATTTCAATTATGTGTTCCAGATAGATGTATTAGTGAATTACAAGTATTTACATCATTTTCATCGGGAAATAAAACTTTTTATTCTCGTCTTCGTAAGCTGAATATGTCAGATAATATTTCAACATCTGCTAATCTTCTCTCTTATGTAATATCTTCAAATCAAATAGTCGAGCTTTGTCTATCCAGATGTGATAGGCAAGTTTCTTTCAATTTACCAATGGTTAGTCATCTTACTCTTATCGATAGTCTTGATGCATTGAATACTCATTCACTCTTGACAAATGTTCGATCTATTCAAATTGTTTTTCATCATGAATGTCTCAATTTTGCAATTGGTGATTGGACTTCTTTACGTACACTGGCAGATTTGCCGCTGTTAAACTCTTTACGTGTGGTTTTGTATAATATGCTGAGCCCACCAAATAATTCAAGCTGCATAATTATTGCAGAGACAGCTTTAAAGATAACTGATTTTGGCTTTTGCTTTCGACATTGTCGTTATCATTATGTTAAACATGATTATGATATTAATTTGATTTTTATGAAACATTGTTTATTCATTGAACGTCTACGAAATCTCATTGTTATTATGTCAGTGAATAAACAGCGATATATCGTCGTTGATGAAGATGGCTCTGGAATTTTCGTATGGTTTTGATTAACAAATAAAAAACAAAATTATTGGATTAAGTAATCACACTTATAATATCTTCAGTCCTATTCATATTCATAAATCGTCAACTTGTAAAAAACAGTTCATTGTCAAAAAATTTAATTCAATCTTTTTTTCCTAAGTGTTTCTTTGAGATTTTGCAATGGCAATAGAATTTGTAAAAGAACTGAAAGTGAAATGATAATAAAATAATATAGTGTAAAAAAGTTAAATTATAATCATTCTTTGCGATAATGCTAGGAAAAAGAGGATAAGCAAAATTCATCACCAAGAGAATTTAAAAGTTCTGTTATGAACTTATTCACATTACTACGAATAATCAAAAGGTATTATTAGGAGATAATGGGATTCGGTGTATTAGAATTCAGATAATATTTGATCTGACTTAACAGTAAAATTATTTAGTGAATAAGTATCATGACAAATTGATTGAGATTTAAAAGAAAAACGATATCGAAATAACTTTCGATACACATGATTTAAAAGAGTTAGCATTGGCGGTACACTTAATTCGTATGATGCCTTAAAAGAGTTTATCAACGAATAGTTAGAAGAGATGATAACAATAACTTAGACTAGTTTAATTCATAAGCTACTTTATTTGATACTCAATCAGTAAATATTAAAGATAGTTTTCCAAAATCTGTATCACTACAATCACATAAACAAGGAAATAGTGAGTCTACTTATTCTCAAGCTAACACAATAATCGCAGAGTAGTTTATTGTCTTTTTGGATCAAGATTTTCATTTTCTGATATAATATCGATCAACAGTAAAAATTGATCTTATGATGCAAGATCAAACTTCAATAGTGACTCTAATTGAAATATGTTAGAATAACAACATAAGGTAATGTTGATTATAAAGATGATATTTTTAAGGAAGTTTTGTTTAAACCCCCTCCTCTCAAAATCGATCTCAGGGCCAATTATGCTACAATCGCATGAAATTTTCAGCCCTATACCATATAGTTTGAGGGTGAGATCTATCAAACAAAGGTTAAAAATAGTTCATTTTTGCTGCAAGAATTCTGTGAATATTTATTGAAAAATTTGTTTTTTCTTGGAAAGAGTATGCCAAGATGCAGAGCCTGTGCGGCTCCTTTTTTAAACTCTTACCTATCAATAGGAGAAAAGGATTGACAAGTTTATTCAATAGAAAAACTCAAAAAATGGTGCTCAAATTATAAAAATGCTTTTGAATATACTAATAGTAAGGTTCCATTCAAAAAACGGAGCTTCAAAGGATTTGCAGTTCTTGATGCTCTTTCAAACAAAAAGAAACATACTAGACTTATATAGTACTGTGATAGAATGCTAGTGTAACTACGGAAAGTCTTAGGCGTAAAAAAAGACATAGTGAAATTCAGTAAAATTTCTATGTCGCTAAGCAAAGTACAAGGAATGAAGCTGAAATAATTAGTAATACGCGGATAATGCATACTGAGTACGCCCTGAAATTTTCAGTCATACACGCTGTATTATGGCGAAGCATGTTTTTAACAAGGTGACGAAGTGAAAAATTAGTTAGTGAGTTTGTTTTGAGGGGCCTTAAATGGTCAAAATCCGTAAGAAAAATAAATAAACAAATAAATTCAAGTATATATAATTGGTTGTAGATTATATGTACCGAAACATTCATGTCGAAGAAATAGTTTTACTGATTATATACAGGCAGTAGGTAATGATGATTCACTTTTATTTTGACATCATGATATTAGAACTGATTTTGATAGTTTATAACGGGGAAAAATGTTAGTTTATTCAACAACCAATAATAATAAAATGATGAAGCATTTTTTTTTAAATTTAATTGTTTTCATGAATTATTAAAACTATTTTTTGTCAACATCTTATAATATTCTTTCTGGAATTATTACTCGTAAATTAGTGCGTACACATCGAGACAAACTTTATATGATAATTCAGCTATTCAAAAATCTGTTTCAGTTATTGTTTATGTTCATTTGATTAAGAATTTATTCCAACAACAAATCATAAAGTATAAATATATTTAGGCAAAGAAAAAATTCATAATAAACAAAATGGCACATTTGACTATTATTTATTTGCTCGTTCAATAAATCGTCATTCGGATTTAGTAACTAAAGAAGCTAGTGATGAATATTTACAAAATGAAGCTTAACATATATTACTTAACGCTATGAATAAATTAGAATCAGTAGTTGCACATCCACTCCCAAATAAAACAGATCGTAATCATATATTGATATTTTTTAACCAACCATTTCTATTGAACCAATAAATCTTGAAGAGTGTTCGTCGTATCGGACTTCGATATGGTATGCCATCAAGGATTTATTAATTTTTTGCTTTTTGAAAACATATTCTATTATTTAAAGGTATTGTTTTATAGAAACTTTGTTTTGTTCAAGCTGTATGAAAAATGACAATACGATTAACATCAGATTCTGAACCAATGTAATATGAGTATTTCTGACATATAAAAATGGTTATCATCTTGATATATCATTGTATCGTGAAGTAACAAATCCAACAAGAAAATACCCATGTAGCTGATAATGGACGTAATTACATGATAATGCAAACTATTTCGCGCATTATAATGCATTATTTCCAAATATAATGCATTAAAATCAAGGGGGAAACATCGCACTTTTGTACTTTACGTACTTTAATGTACTTTATTGTACTTGAAAGTACTTCAAAATACTATAAAATACTTTAAAGTTCCTTATACTATTTTAAGGTACTTTACAGTACTTTAGAGAATTTTAAGATATTTTAAAGTACTTTATGTACTTTAAAGTACAAAAGTACGATGTTTCCCTCTTGGTTTGAGTCATAAAAAAACCGTTTTCTGACACTGTAAATGGTAATATGGATCGCAGCTCGATTTGTTATTTATAGTGGAATTATGATATGTATACAACGAAAATACAGTGTATTTACTGTCATGTATGGTACAAATAGGGACCCATACAGTTATTTTATTTTACGAGTCCAGTGACACATCGATTGAAACGTAGAAATATCTGAAAAAGACACGATCGCTGCCTTCAAATAACATACATCAATAGAAACTTTCAAGATATAGTTCATTTTTGTTACATCATTCGACCTTAAAAGCAGTCAAACTCAGTAATTTCTCTCAAAACAACTATATAATGAGAGTCGAGTTGAATTGTATCATTTTTTTTAAATAAAGATAAAGTAGAGAACAAAGAAAGAGCCCTAGTGAATAAGGCAACTCTTTTAGAATTGAAAAACTAAATACTTCATGTTGTAGAGCACGTCATGACGCATTGAATGTTATATAATAAAGCTTGTTTTCATAAAACTTTGAAGGACCTAGAGTCAGTTTACTGACAGACGACTATGCACTTGAAGCATGATCATTATGGACCTTGATGTCAATCGAAAGTGTTTGTAAAATAGATTTTTTTTTATAGCCAGCTGTATAGAGATTTTCACGGACTACAAGCTAATATACTTAGCATCTCCGATCATTTTGTCTTTCATAGAAAAAAATGCTATGTTTCAATGGTTACCATTGTTTTTACTACTGATGAGTTTCTATATTTTCAATACTGTCGACTATAGAAGATGTGACCACACGTTAAACTTTGTCAGAGATTGCCTGTAATATAGCACTACAAAACACACTATTTGAAGGTCTTCTAAAATTTGTACGTGATGCCGAAAATTACCTTGCATTGAGAAATTTCAACCAATTTTTACGTCAATTTTTCTCTTTTAATACTTCATTTTGATATTTTCTCTATCAAAACTCGGTTCTCGCCTAAAATAAACATAGTATTTAGAATCATCATAAAAAACACTACATCAAATAAATTATTCTTTAGCTACATACTTTTTCCGCCAAAATTCGACTTATGGGCGACCACAGAACAAAACTCACGATGGAACTTTCTGAGGTGTTCAAGCAGTTTAGGCTCCATCTTTTAGCCGCAAGCAGACCTCGATGAGATATGAAAAAGCTGAAAAAGATTTATTCCTTGAGATTTTTTTCTTGAGTTATAACTGTTTCACTAGATATTCATCGTACCGCATGACACTTCGAAAAGAGTTGAATGTTGTAAGTTCAGTCGGACATTTTGCTCACAGATAGATCTTATCATCACTAATATGTCCTAAAAATTTCAGCTCAAATGAATGTGCTCTTATGCAGATAATTTATTTTACCAAGTAGCACAATTCGCGAGAATAGTCATTAGAATACCGACTTTGTCAAAACTCAATTATCTCGGAAAAGACACATCCGTTTGAGTTGAAGTTTTTAGGGCATATTAGTGATGATAAGACTTATCTGTAAGCAAAATGTTCGACTGAATGTACAACATTCAATTCTGCATTTTTTTCTATAATAGACAGAATGATTGGAGATGCTAAGCATATTAGCGTGTAGCCCGTGAAAATCTCTATACAGCTGGCTATAAAAAAAAGCTATTTTACAAATACTTTCGATTGACATCAAGGACCATAATGATCATGCTTCAAGTATATAGTCGTCTATCGGTAAACTGACTCTCGATCCTTCAAAATTTTATGAAAAAAAGATTTATTATATACCATTCAATGCGCCATGACGTGTTCTACAACATGGAGTATTTAGTTTTTCAATTCTAAAAGAGTTTCATTATTCACTGGGGTCCTTTTTTTGTTCTTTACTTTATCTTTATTCTTTATACAAATGAGCAACAAAGATAATTTAACACTCCTAGTATATATACAGAACAATCTACTGTTCTGGCTCATCATGAAGAAAAATTGGACCTCGAATATATGTGCTATCAAAACAACATCTAAGACGATAATTAATTCTCATCTTTATCATACTGGAATATGAATGATAGTCAACAGAAAAAAGAACAACATTTTCGATGAATACTCTAATTTTGGAGTCGATTGATTTAATCTTTTTCTTAAATCAATGTGACATAGATCGAACATGTTCTCTGTAGGCACCTCTTGATCATCTGAGCACTTGCACGTCGAACTTTTTTACATAAATCAATCGTAGTACGTTGTGTGAAGTGCAAACAGTTCTGTCCTCTTCTCGTTAAAGTATGCTTTATCAATTGCTAATAATAGAAAATAGAGGTATGACAAGTTTGAGTTCCACTCGATTATATCGTTGAAAGAACAGAATGGTTGATTTGTGTGTTATATAAGTCTCTTGATTTATTGAAAAAGTTCCACGTGGTATACAATGATTAAGGATATACACGATACAATAATGGCTGAAATAATGATTCAAGACGAACAAAAAGCTGACTAGAAGATGAAAAAATACTTTAGAGTTTGACTAGAATTCAGATGTTAATGCAAGGCATCGTTCTACGATGTTGTAGTTCGCCAAAACTGATCGGAATCGAGCAAACGAAGCAACAAGTGTATGTGTTCGTGCAGTAGATTAATCATCGCCTGGCATTGATTTTGGGTTTTCTTCTCGCGAAACCATTGAATGGATTGATGTATGAGTTGAAACATGAAAAATCGTTCATCTCCATTCAAAGGAACTATCTTACATTTGGCATCGATCCCAGCGCATTGACCCAGTGTATAAATCTCGTCAATGGATGTATTTTGGAATAGATGTGTCAGTTCAGTAGCATGCTCTGCTTTGCAGGCTACAACAACTCGACATTCTTTGTGATTCTCGATGGCTTGTTCTGCTTCTATGGCATTCGTACAGTTCTCGAAGAGAAAGTCAAGATCCCGACAACCATTGTGAACTTTGTACAAGATGATTTTGCGATTGTAATCTTTTAAACTCATTAGTGAAACTTGAAACGATTTACGCCAATTGAAATTAACAGAGATTCTCTCGGTAGAATACAAAAAGACCAAGCCTTCGTTTATGTCTCGTGTTCACTCTTTATATACGAATTATGTTCTATGAATTTCCCAACTTATAAAAATCTTTCACCTCCATGAACTGTTCAATTATCTATAATGTCTATAACGGAAAAACATGATTTTCCAATTCTCATAGATGTTAATATTAGCATAAGAAAGATTTATTTCAGTTTCTATGTGTATGTGGCACTATCATAATAAACATTGACGTCATGGGTGTCAAATCATGCGCAAAACGCTTCTATAGTATTACGCATCATACATGTCGTTGATTCATCATGGACTGCAATGCAATCATCGTGTGTCTCATTCAAACGCAAGAACAAATATTCATTTAGTCACTTGAATAACACGCCCATTGAGTACATATTGAAATAAATAATAAGAGCTTTCCTTGTGTCACTTCTTTTTCTGTCAAATATGTTCTAACAAATTTTTTTATGCAATAGATCATTTGTGTAGATTTATTGCGCAAAGATCCCATATCGATTTTTCCATTAATTCTCATTCCCTCTTGATGTGCTGTAGAAGCGCATTTATACAGACTAGGAGAGGAAAGTTACCGTTACTCGTGAGATAAGTTACCAGGTAACTAGTAACTTATGTACGAGTTAATAGTTACCAAGTAACTCATAACTTAATTAAATGATGTATTGACGATATTGAGTCATAAGAAAGCGATAGTTCGTCTTTTTAGATGAGTTACCTAACAAAAGTAACGGTAATTTCCCTCCCCTAATACTGACATGCACAAGAAAAAGAACGACAGATGCGAAAACAATAACACAGGTGTTTCAACAATCGGTGATAGTTCTGAATGCATATCATCGGTCGACAATACTGTTTGTTAACACATGTATCTTTTGTCTTCGGCGTGAGCTTCTGTAACATTATGATATTGAAATCTTTTTGATGTAACGCCTTTGGGATAAAAATATGAAACACGATGAAGCCATGGTAATCTTAAACGGGTATTCTGACTATATTGATCATGCTCGGTAGTATAGCAAAGGGAGTAGTATATACAGTGGCTGTCACATCTATCGAATCAGCTGATAATTTCGTTTTGTTTTGTTTGAGTGTGGGTGTGGATGTTGTTCTTCTCTTCAACCCACACCCTTTGATCGATTTTACTTATAAACAAAAGATTATGGGCAACACTCTATACAGTTCTATTTGGTAGGTGACATATTCAACAAAAATTCATGAAGATTGTGGTATTTTTCAG